CTCTTGCCCTAAAAGGCATGTAATGCATCCCTCGTAAATGTCCACACGACTTCCTGCTTTCACCTCAAGCTCTTCTTGTTTACATTGCTCATTTGTACATTGTGGCTGGATCTCAGACTGTCTGACCACATCTATATCTGGCAGTGACGATCGTACAGCTCAGGCTCTCCTAAGCCCAGGCTATAACAAGTATGTCCAGGCGTGTGTGGATACAGTTTAGATGGATTTAAGCATGGAATTAAAATGTGTTGCCTGTATACAGGCTGAAATCAGATTTCTCTTTCTTCTGAGGGACACAGACAACCGTGCACGTGTGCTGGCTATCATTCTTCTTTCTCCATCCATTGACAGTAAACACAGCGCTGGTTGTTGCCCATCTGCAAGAATCCAGACAATTCATTTTGACAGGCATGCTACTACCCAAACTGCCTGCCAACTGTTTGAATTGCACGCATTTTCTTATTGGATCTGCTCAGGAAAATGTATTTACATATGGATCTGACAAATATTACATTTTCACTTTGTCATTAATGTGGTCGAATGCATCTCTTGGAGGCATTTTTTTTTATAATTACATACTCCTTTCAGGCAGCATCTGTGACTCATGCAAATTGTTATTTTTTTAATTAATGAACACGTGCACATACATCATTAAACTGTGTTGACTGCAGGTGCAAAGCTAGTCGCTATCAGCAAATATTTTTTTTCCACATAATAGTCTGTGTGCCCTGTTATGATTTGAATGATAAGTCACATTTAAACCTGTGTAATATGTGCCATAATTAGCTCCCAAGATAGTATGAAATATAGTGAATTACTGCTTCATGCTCTGTAAGCTGTCCTGTGCTATAACAGATCTGACCCCCGATTTTTGTTCATTGAACAGCCAAAGTCTGAGCAAAGGCAAAGATATTCACAGAGACATCCCTGCCTGCATTTGAGGCTTTGCCACAGGATATTGCGACTGCACTCTTTAAGAGAAGCAATAACAGCTCGCATGTCATCTGAGACTGCATTTCTTAAAAGGCGTAGCGAGATAACCAACCTTTCCTTCCTCCTGCAGTGTCTGAGAGAAAAAAGAGGAAGTTAAGTACAGAACAACTTGAGAAAAATGTGCTTTAGAAAGAATTAGAACAAAGAAAAAAAACACAGACTTATAAAATGGGTGAGCTCCCAGTGTGAATAGGTAGATATAACTGCATTATTTGCCATGTCAGTTAGCATTTCTTTGCAGAACTTGCCAATATGGCGAACTGACCATGACCGAAAGCATAGAAATTAGAAATTATTCAAATGAGAAAGGGTTTCCAGGTTGCTATATATGCAAATGTCGGCCCATTTGTGTTTGAACGTATTGCTTTGCATAGAAAAGAAACAGGGCTGTCCTTTCATACTTTTTAGAAGTGTTGAAACAAAACAAAAAAAAATGCAATAAAGGAATGTGGTCTCTGTCTTTATTTGCTTTTTTCCACACTAGTCCCATCTTGTGAATAGCACCTCACTTCCCGCCAAAGCACGCACATGTTTTTATTGACTTTTCACTTGAAGGCACGGGTGTTTAAATTTTGTGAGATAAAAGGAGATCACATTACAGGAGCTGTAATCTGCTTTATAAAAATGACTGCAGAGGCACCAGTAAGACATTCAAGGAAAGTAATAAAGTTCGGGTTTGTGCATGTGTGCATATTTGTTTATTTTACATGAGGACATCTGTGTATATGTGTAGTGTCTGTGTGCAGGGGACTGGGTTTCTCTGAGTTCCAGCAGGAGAGGCACACGTGATGTTCTAAGATACTCCCTGAGCACGGGCAATTAATGATGACAATTTGAATTTTGATTCGCTGGTCTTTGCCGAGGCAGCCGGGCCAGACGAGTTGAGGAAGTCACCTATCTAATAGATGCCACATGATATTAATGTACAGAGGCACGCCGCCTCTAACCTGGCAGCCTCGGGAAATCAATCACCACCCCAGCATTACTTTCTTTTGACAAATATGCTCTCACCGGCCAGGTAGCCGAGCTAATGGCCTCCGAAGTATATCTGTCAAAGACACAGCTCCTATTAATTATTCAGTCACCTGTGCTCCTATGCTGTGGTGCTACCTTACAATATTTACAGTGCTGCAAGAGGCCGCTCTCCCACTGGCGCACTGTCCCTGAAGTGGCGAGCTGCTTTTTGCATGAGCCATAATTCCATCTGCTCCACTTCTACTGAGGAAGGGAAAGAGACAAGCTGCTTTCATCGCTTATCAAGAAGCACGGCGGTCTCTGGAGTTGCATGAGTGTAAACATGACTGAAGGCTGATGAAGGGTTCCCATTGTGTTTAAGTCATTAATGAGGCAGGTAGGGTTTCATCATTACGCTGTAGTGGAGGGAGAGAGTCAGTGCTGTCAAGGACCTCGTGTGTTGTTGTTGTTTTTTTGTCTCGTTAGTCTAGATGTGAAAGCATGCTAAATATAGTTGGTAATCATGTGTGAATAATGATGCATTACTAATGTGACAAAGACGGCAAAAATGTGTTTTAAAATGGTTGTGTCCAGAGAGAAACATCGCAGGCAGGGTTAAACAAAGAGCACAGTGGTGGCAAATCCAGCTGTTACCAGACAACCACTGGCCACCATGCTCTTATGGAGGAGTTAAATCCCCTTTTTTTCCGCCCACAGAGGGGGAGCAGGGTGGTTGGCTTGAAGGAGGGGAAGATGAGGGAGGGAAGGGAGTGATGCTGCATTCATGTGAATGTGGGAAAAGTGGGAGGAATGAGTTTCCTTTTTGGAAATACCATCCACTTTTGCTTCCAGTTGGAAGACACGGCTTGCAAATTTTTTTCTTCTTCTTTTCCTGTTTATTCTCTGAATAGACCTCCATAGTTTTACTGCTCTGCTGAATTTTCACATTATAATCCCCAATCTGCAGTCAGATGTTTGTGATCATTAACCCATCATCACATTTTCATTATATTCCCAGGAAAACAATGCCTTTCTGGACATGGACATAAAGCAATAAACACTGACTTATTCTTTCTGTTTTTTAACCAAAACTCTGCAAAACAAGACATGAGATCTTTGTCAGGTTGCTTCATCTTCCTCTTTTGTTTTGAAATGTTACTTAATGTGACAGTCAACAATCAAGTATCAGTTAGTAATCAGCTTTGACAGACAGCTTCAAATAAATACATGACTACGTAATGTGACCAAAAGTATGTAGAAGCACCACACCTATATGTCTGTTAAACATACTCCAAGGATTAAGCTGCTGCTACTCATCCAGGAAAGTTTCCAGCAGTGTCTGGGACCTGTGCAGCAGAGATTTGCTCCCATTCAGCCTCAGTAGCATTAGTGAGGTCAGCCACTGATGTCGGGCGATAAGGCCTGACTTGCAGTCAAGGTTCCAGATTATCCAGAAGGTGCTCTGTTTAGGCAGGACGAGTTTTTCCACACTAAATGCCATTGTCTTGGCTTTGTGCATGGGGCATTGTCATGTTGAAACAGGAAAGGGCCTCACCCAAACTGAGGCAACAAAGTGGGAAGCACAAATCATTGTTTGCTGTATGAGTAAGATTTTCCCTCATTAAAACCCCTAACCATTAAAAACTGCCTCAGACCAAAAATACTCAAAGGTATATAGACAAGTTTGTACATATGGCTATACATACAGTGTAAAATGGTGAATCACTGCTCAGTTTTCTACTCAAATTGCAACTTGTAATTAAATATATGTAATTTTAAAGCCACAGTTCTGAATTTGTATCAGTGACATTATCCTTGTTTTTGTTAGTGCTTATCTAACAACTGTTTTGTATGGTTGTGCCACATCATATTGTATCGTAATTATCTTACTGCATCGTATAGTATTGCATTGTGACGTGTTGTATCGTATCATATGGTGTATGGTATGGTGTATGAAAGCTTTCATGGAGGCTTATAGTTTCATGAGGGTAAGTTTTACAATTTTATTGTAGCGTAAAAATACGGTATACAAAAAAGGAAAATGAATGTCTTTTACAAAGCTATGGAAGCTGAGAACGACTGTGCATGCTGTTATTATTTTTTATTGCTGTTATCTTGAGATTACAAATCATGATTTCTCATGATAGAGGGAACATTTCTGTTGATTCTTGACAAAAGGTGGATTTCCCAGGATAAGGGAATTTATCACTGGGTTATTATGGAGAACTCAATAATGAGTGTCTGGTTCATTTGACCACACCTGATTTCAACCTTCAAGATCACCATCATGATTGTTGGGGTCCTGTTAGAACTTGATTGAAATAAATTCCCGAACAGTAATGGGTACTTCTTGATGTGACTTTTTCAGCTTACATAAGTTGCTACAGTTGTGAAGTTGTCACCATCTATACATGCTGGCATGGCACTCCCGATCTCTGATAACCATTATGAATAATAAAAGGAAACAACCTTTTTGTTTCTTGTTAGTGCAGGTTGATTATCACCTCTAACTTAAGATAACGTCCGTTTACACAAGATAGGAAAATGAATAACTTGTGATTTTGAGATGACGGCATTAAAAAAAATGCAAGTGTGGCTCTACATGGCTTCTATAGAAAACACACTGTACTAGGAAACATAACAATAAAAAATCTCTAAAACAAATATTTCTAGAGGCTCTTAAATGTTTTATGAGTCCCTTCTTGTACAATAAGATTTAGAAAATATACTGTACCTTTTTCATTGCTGTATCCAAACATAAAAACTACCATTTAATTTAATCACCCTCAAACTTTAATCATTTTTTTCTCTAAATGTGTCCAGTAAGCCTGGGACAAGAATACAATAACAGTAATCACACAGGCCGCACCTTTAGCAACTTTTAATTATAACAGTGTGTGTTGGAACACATTTGAGCTGGGGCGTGTGTGTGTGTGTGTGTCTGTGTGTGTGCTGATGAAGGAGGGGGTTCACCCACACCCCTTGAACGCAGCATGAGCGTCTAACAGGGTCACGTGAGATGCTCCGCTAATAATGCAGTGACGTGGTAGAGTTCCGTCAGTAGAGCGGTGTCTGACAGCCTGCTTGCGCGGGCCAGTAGCTCCCTTGCCCGGCTGGGGAATCCGACAGGGCTCGGTCCAAGACAGAGCGAGGGAAAGACCCGGGGAGAAGAAAAACAATAAGGAGCGGGCTGACAAACGGAAGCGGGGGAAGTGAAAGTAGACGACTAGTTGTTTTTGTTTTTCCTTCAGGACTCGGGGAGCATGTTTTGGCAGTGACAGGACTCAGAGGTGGGAGAGGATATGATTTTTTATTGTGTTTTTCTCCATTGCTTTCACTGCGCTCATACTGTACATCAGCCCACCGAGCCTCGTGAAGGACCAGCCGCACTCCTGCTGCTCTGCCGCCGCTGCTGTTCCCTCCTCATAGCGGATCGGGCTCCGGATAAACGTGTGTGGATGCTGTGATGATTTCTCTTACATGTTTACATTAAATAACACCTCTGGGGAGAGAGATAAACTAGGATAAGATCAGGAAACAACAGTGAAACAGCGAGGGGAGGCAAAAATATTTATCAAGTAGTGAGGTAGAGGGAGGCTGTGGTGTATAACGGACACCAGGAGGAGGAGAGAGGAGGAGTCGCAGCAGGAGGAGAACCAAAAACCTGCAGGTTTGTTGAGCCTGTGGGAATGAGGACGAGGAGGGACGTAACACATCCTAGGTGTCAGTGTGATTAGAGGAGAGGGAGCTGGAGGAAGAGAAGGCGTTAAAGCGCAGGTTGTTCCCAGTCCAAGGAGGCGGTGATGGCGGGTAAAGGCACCGGGGTTCACACACTCCGTCAGCCGACCGCAGCCCTGTCAGCAGCCGCAGCAGCATGAGGAGGAGGAGGTACGCAGCACTGCACGTCTCATCAGTCCTCCACATCCTCATTATTCATTTAGCCTTCCCCGCCCTCCTCTCCCCTCCATTACATCCAGCCAGTCACCCTTCCCAGCCGCCTTGACTAGTATCCATCCATCCATCAATACATTCATCCATCCATGCCCTTCCTCTGTGTCCCAGCAGCCTCTCCATCAGGCACTTTTTTGGACCTCAAGTTGCTTTCTAAAATGTTGCAGTGACAGTCAGGAGCCCCTCAGCCAGGTGTTGGAGGCAGGTGTACCACTGGAACGCAAGAAAGCTTTGATTTGTGTAATTACTTCCCCCCCAAAAGGTGGATTGTGAAGATTTCATTCATCCTCGCCCAGAGCAGATCAGAGATTCTGGAAGGTACAATCCCTGACATCAAACAGGGGTCAGTAATTCGTACTGTATTCCTTTACATAGATTCAAGTTTAGGAAACTCCTCCTTGGACCTGCCAAGAGGCGAGGCCAGGGAGTTCCCATTGATCCAGTTCAATTAACAGGGCTTTTTATCCACTTCATCACGTCCAGCTGCCTGAGCTATTTGGCACTGAAAGCCTGTGCATGCTAACTGCTGAGATGGACATTAAAAAGGAAAAAAAAAAACAAAAAAAAAAACACAGCAGCTAAGCTCACCATCTGGGTATTCACTCTGCCCACTAGACTATGAAACTTTAATAGGGTCTAATTTTCAAACCACCTCATAATTTATTGCTGTGGTGTCTGAACCGACATCTCCGAAAAGAGTCGAAGCGAGGAGAATACGGTGGGGCTTTATTAACGAAGTAAAGCAGAAATACTGTTAGAATTAAATCCAGTGGTAAAAGTTGGCAGCAGCACAATGACAAAGGTTGGATATCGCTCTCACTGAGTGGAAGAAAATCACTGTCATATAATATTTACTACAGCTACAATAGCTCGGAGCTGCCAAAGCTTTATTTCCCAGAAGGCTCTTTTATTTTTGAGTCCACTTTTAAGAGGCGGCTCGATCCTTTGTTACAGCCTTTTTTAAAGGACAAATTAATCCAAATGTTGCACTATAATTCAACATTATATGGCTTTGACTTGGACGTTAAAGGATCAGTTCAGTACAGAAGATTTTCTCACTAGTTTTTTATCTTATTTAGGAAAGTCTTGAGATGTCAGTCTCTGCCCCGGGGAATGGGATTATGTTTGTTGGGGCTCGCAACATGGAGAAGATACTTACAACACTTGATTAAGGGGTTAAATAATGTTTATATTCATTGTAGATTTTTCTGCCTTATGTTTTATTATCAATTTACCTTTTGGTCAAACAGAAATGTGAGAAAACAATTTTAAAAATGGAAATTACAGTTTCCTACAACCCAAGATGACATCTAAAATTGTTTGTTGTCACAGTACGCAAGGAATACCATAAAATCCTCTTAATATAGAAGCTGAAATTGGGGAGTGTTTGGCATCTGTGCTTAGAAAATGACCTTAACACTTATCAAAATAGTTGCGGAATATATATCTGTCGATCAGCTAATTGATTAATGGACCTGTAGTTCTCCTCATATTCTTGATTTATATGCCGAGGTCACAGGGAACTAGTTTCAATCAAAACAAAATACCTCCCTCTATTGAGGCAGAGGCAGAGATGGTCAGAACGGGGGCAAATAAAAGGTTAGATACCACCAGAAAGAGAGCGATAGATGTAAGAGAGGAGAAACAGGGGTTTGGTCATTTGGGTGAACTGACCCTTTAAGGATTAGATATGGTCATGTTTTGTGATCGGGGACTCAAGTGGCCTGGCCCAGATCTGACCAGTCTCTAGTGATGAAGGTTAAAAAAAAAAACCCACAGCTGGCCATCCAGTGTCACTCATCTGCTCTGCAACACTTAGCGAGAAGGCAACCCTCCCCCTCCCAGCGGTCCTATCCTAGTTGAGTCAGAGATACACCAAACATTTTCAAAGGGTCAGTTCACTCAAATACCCCCCAAAAAATGTTTTATCTATCTCTCGCAGTTTTTTTATGGAAACTATTTCTTGGATAGGGTTTTGTTCTCATGAAAACTTTACACAGGAAAGTCTGTGGATTATCCAGGGGCCCTGATTTTTTTTTGCCTTGTTCTTTTTGTAAAGAGATGTTGCTTTTATATTTCTAAAATGTAATTTTAATGTTTTGAGCACCACAACTTCAATTCCATTGTGTTTTGGCTGTGGCCCAAATCTCAGAGTACAATCTTTCGTAACCTCAGCAGACAAAAGTGAAACTGTTTGCATGAGTTAACATACCACTAGGATCGAGTCACTGATGGAATTCTAGCAGGTATGTAGACACAAGGAAACACAAAAAAAAGGAAAAATAAAGTGTCAAAGACCAGCGTCACCTTTTGCCCGGTTGCTTAATTAAAAAACTGGACAAATGCAATAAAAACATTATTGTTCATAAATAAAATAAAAAGTAATTTGGCAAATTTTAGTATTTGAATATAGCCATTATTTGCATTTGTATCCAACTAATATCTCTCCTACCAGTATTTTCTAAACAGGGCTCCTTGTAGGCTACTTCTGAAGTTGCCAAGGGCTACAAGTTAGATTGTAGAGTAGCTCTGCTATTTTTTTTTTCTAAATTTAAGTAAGTAAGTTAGGCAAGCTGTTACAGCTGAACACTGATGGAGACCAACTGAGAGTGATTTTAGTTGGCAGGCAAGCAGAGAAGTTAGCAGTTAACCTAAAGTGATAGATAGCTCACATAGATGCTGTAAGAAATCAAGAGTCGCAGCCTGTTCTCATTCCGAAGTATTCAAATACTACCGCTTGGTCAGGGATTTTGCAGTGGTCTGAAACAAGGCCAAGTGGCATCAGTATAACGCTGCTGGACATAACCTTTCACGTTGTCATGATAGGCTGCCATTGGCCCAAAGCACCTTGTATGATCAGCCGCCGGATGGCGTCAAGTTGAAAAGCTGCTGGTAACTTCTTCATATAAGGTGCTGGAAAGTCCCTATAGGGCGGGTGGGAGGGATGGTGCATGGATCCAACAAACCCCGGCCTTTCAACTAGGAGCCTGGTATTGGCTTTCCGAATTTCTAAACCTAACCATGTACTTTTGTTACCTAAACCCACCCATGTGCTTCTGTTGAGGTCCAGGCGTTGGTAGACAGTAAACGACAGTAGGGCTGTGACTAAAGATTTTTTTTTCATTGCCGATTAATCTGTCAGTTATTTTCTTGATTTAATTAATTGTTTGATCAATAAAATGTCAACCAGTGTTGTCCAGAGCTCAAGACGATGTCTTGAAATGTCTTTTGTCTTCAACCCAAAGATATTCAGTTTACTGTCATAGAGGAGTAAAGATACCAGAAAGTATTCACATTTAAGAGACTGAAATCAGAGAGGTGTGACTCAAACAGATGAATCAATAATCAAATTAATTTGCTGCTAATTTAAAAGTTGACTATTAATTGATTAATTGTTGCAGCTCTGATAAACAGTTGAAATAGTTAGCTAAAAGTAATGGATAAATGCTCAGAACGTCTAACTTCTGCTACTTCGCACAAATGCAACCTTGACCAAACCAACCTAAAAATTGACAGTTCAACTTTATAAAACACAATGTAATGATACCATGTCTGTATAGATAGATATAAATAGTGTTAACATCCAGTTTAAAATCAATTCTCAATGAACACATCTGGAGCATGTCAGGTTGTGCTGGATGAAGGGGTGCTTGACTCCATCTGATAGGGCTGCCGGGGTATGTGGGCCAAAAAACAAAAAAGTTGGGAGCCAATTTTTCATTATTTGCTCAATATTATGAAAACCCCATACCTCACTTTGGTAAAAGAGAATTGGGATGACCAGTTTGTCAAATAACCCTCACAGAAAGTTAGGAAAAGGAAGAGCAACAACAACAACAACCCTCACCTCTATTTCACTTGTTTTCTTGGCCGTGAACTCTTCTCTGCAATCAGATAGTAAACAACAGTCAGAAAATGACAGATTGTTGAGGAAGAGGGCAGTTGAATAAGGGAGGAAAGTGACCAGGACAAGGAGGGTTTAAGATGAAACCACAGCAGCACTGAGGGGAGAGGTGTGGACTTGATAGCAGTCTGTACTTTTAAGTGACTGCTCTGGATGAAGCCTGGGAGTGAATTCCCTGGAACACCACTTTTAAGGTGTGCCCAGCAGCACCTTGTGAGAACAAAACTATGAAATTCCTGAAACTCATTGCTGTGCGTTCCAAGCAACAGTTGCAGAACAGATAGCTCAGTTGTTTCTCACTAACGTAAGCACTAAGAAAGCAACAGTAAGAGAGTTCTCAAAGAGAGAGTGAGTGATTGAAGGTAAGGTTGTTCCATAGATAAAAATATTTTTTTAGACTCAGGTTTAGGTTTGGATATTGTTTCAGTTTTAAAAATTCAGATTCTGCATATTGAATCTGGTTCTTATCAAATCTTGGTTCTGTTGACAATATTTTTAGAGATGAAAACAGAATAGACATTTCAAGAACAAAAATTAACCAACCTTCGTTCCTGGCACATTTCGGCTATCATCAGTAAATTGTCAGCTGTGATGGGAAGGTTTCTTTTTCCTTTCAATTAGGCTGTACAAATAAAAAAAAATTACAAACCAAAACTCCTTGAATCAAAAAATGTAAAAGTATAACCAAAAAATTCGGGAATAGGAAAAAATATTTAAAAGACAGTTTCTATGAATGTTAGAGAAAGTGTATATCTGCAACACAAAGTCAGCAATTGACCAATCCCAAGACCTGCTCCCTGTAGTTACTGTTGTGAATCAGACAAGCTTGACAAAAAGAGACATGGTGACACCAGTTCTGTTTAGTTGGGTGCCACAGTGGGCATAAGCCGACGCTAAGGGCTGCAGTATGTAATAGAATATATTCACTGACGTCATTTTCATCCAAATAAATGTAATGTAGTTACTTTAGAGAGGCAAGTAACATACAGAGATAATATAACAAAGAAATGTTAGCCTTGATCTTCCCTGGCTAATTCGTGTCATCTTGAAAATATATCTGCAATCAACCTATCTCTGCTTTTCCAAATCTCTAACGTTACCTTAGGAATAAGGAGGAAGTGAACATGGCTGACACTGGTGATCTAACATTAGACTGCCTTCTCCTGATGTAGCTCTTGCCTAGCTAGTTAGCTAACATTTTGCTAACAACAGGTGTCTTAAAAAGTGATCCAACCAACTTCAAACCAAACCAATCAATTATTGATGCCCAACCCTAGGATCTGTTTTTTCTTGTTCCCAATTGCAATGCTATTAATAGAGACTGAGAGTCATGGCAGCGTCTCAAATTAAACAAAAACAAAACAGGATGTCGTCCTTGCTCACTGCTGGCCAGATTTATTGAACATGACAATTGTATTCTTACCAGACTAAGATAAAGA